AGGAACACGAGGGGAGAGCCCCGGAAACGTGCTGACTCGAGCACGCTGGCACCACGAGCGGCACTCTCGCCATCCGTCTCGCCTTGGCCAACGTATGGTGCACTTCCGAGCAGTGGTTTAACATCGGCCGTGGACAGGTAGGCGAGGTTGGTGTCTTTCATGGTGCGGACGGCACTGAGAGGGTTTCCGGCCTGAAAGGGGGTCCATCGTGCGGTGGGAGAGACGAGGAGCGTGTTGATAAATCCGGGAGATGTTCGAAGCCAGGATAACCGGTTCAGCGGCGAGCCGGCCATGAAATTGGTTGGTCTTTGAGCTATGTCAATTAGTCAACGACAAAGCTGTGGGCGGTGGACATCAGGAAAAACCTCCCTTACTAAAAATCTACTAATTAGAGGGGGACCTTCCTAATTCCCTGTTCCCGCTGCCAACCTGCAAGGCACTACGTCAACGTAGGTCCCTGTCACCCTTCTGGCCTCAACTATGTATTTGAAGTGCAAATATGAGGTCAATGTCGACGACGGTGCATCGAAATGTGTACGGGGTTTTGTGAGAATAGAGCCCGTTAGTTCACTTTAGGAAGGTCCCCCTCTAACTAGCGCTAATTTGCTGGATTTGTTGATTTTAGTAAGGGAGGTTTTTCCTGATGGACGCACCTTTCGACCATCTTTGGGCTGAAGACGGATCGCGCACTGCGGAAGAGTCGAGACAGCTTGGTGAACGGATAGGGGGCAGGCTATAAGAGCGTCGTTGGACACCTACGGGAAGGGGAAGGGACTCCCAGGCTAAGCATATAAGGAGGCTTCATGAGAACGCGTGCGCAACTCGGGAAAATGTGCGAGGCCACCTTTCTCACCCGCGGACTATCCCCACACCGACTGAACCCGAACCTAGATCTTGTGACATCTCTGACCCGATGTCTCCGACTTCATCTATGCCTCCAACGGGGTGAAAGAGCGCTGGTCACAGTCTGCTGAAAGTTGGAGAAGTCTCCATTCACAGACGCCAGGTCTGTCGTCTATTTCCTAAGGCGAGTTGTGGGTCGAGGCTGAGTAAGTCATGGCGAGAGCAGATGAAGTTGACCAGCTCACCCTGACATGGAGACTTGAATCAAGAGGGAACATATTTGTTGAGTGTAAGTAAATTTGGCAAGAGCCCTATGCGGCAGGGTCGATACTTATCGATGTTGAGAAGCAAGAGCAAGTCGCGTGAGAGCGCGGAGAGCGCGTCAGGCGTGTCGTGGCTGACGCGCTGACGGAGCGACCACCGCCCAAGCTTCGCCCGACTCCGACCTCGCCGAGGACGTGACCAATGTCGACGACGATTGCAAACCATCTGAACCGCGCTTGGTTCTCATCACCATCCCACCAAGCCCTCCCACCCTGTCTGTCCTCTTCCGCGGTGTCCGATCTCTCTTCCACCCGAAGACCATGTCGGAGAGGCATGTTTCTACATGTGCCTGTCTTTCATTCGATTACTAACACTCAACAATGTCCCAGACCAACCAATTTCTTGAGCGGATCGCCACTCAACCGTCTTTCATGGCTCCGCACATCTCCTGTTTTCATAAACGGCCTCGTTCATTCCCCTACCGCCCGCTGGATCGCGTTCAACGGGGGGAGCCCTCTCGTCGCGAGTCGTTCCGTCTCTGACGCGGGTCTCGTCCACCTTTCCTTCGCCGACGTGAAGTCTCTAATTGGTGGTTCGCCATACTTCGGCCAAGGTCAAGATGACGGTGTCGCTGGCGACGTCACCGTGTCCGCACTGGAGGCGGCCCGCTTCCGCGGCGCACCCCTCGTATTCCTGGGTCTGCAGGAGACTGGACCGAACGACTTCGCCCCTGGCGTTGACCCAGAGAAAGCTGCGCTAGATATCAAAGGGAATCCGTACTTCTCCATCGATGTCACTGACGCGGAGCAGCCTGTTGTCGACGCGCTAGTGGAGGTTGGCAAGAAGTCAAGTTCAAACGCACAGGTTGCTTTCATGGAGCCCCGGGCAGCTATTCGCGGATTTACTGCAGAGGAAGCGGGAATATTTGCGATTGCACGGAGTATGATCGATTGGAACTACCGGAACAAGGTGCGTCGAAGGAGTCATGACATCTGTGACCTGTCGTATTTATCAAACGCACAGTTCTGTTCGGCTTGTGGTTCTCCTCAACATTCGTTGTGGGCTGGGTGGAAATTGGCTTGTTCGTCCCTGCTTCCTTGGGCAGATAACACCGGCCGCAAGCCCTGCCCTACGGCGTACGCACATTCCATCGTTCTTTTCACAGCAATTTCCTCACCTACTCTGTAGAACTGGCCTGCACAACATTGCGCACCCGCGCACCGATGCTGTGGTTATCATGGCCGTCATAAATGAGGCCAACGATCGCATTCTCCTGGGCCGGAATGTGCGTCGCATTGTCTTCCTGAATTCGTATCATCTAATCCCGCAACGCACAGAAAAAATTTCCTGGAACCATGTATTCCACGCTTGCCGGTTTCATTGAGCCTGGAGAGTCGTTCGAGGATGCGGTGAAGCGCGAGATTTTGGAGGAGGCCGGCATTCATGTATGGAATGTGCGCTACCACTCCACGCAACCTTGGGTGCGTTCTCTGTCCCATGCAGTGATCTTTCGTCTGACGATCTCCAACAGCCGTATCCCGCCAATCTCATGACTGGTTTTGTCGCCACCGGTGACCCTGCGGAACCCGTCCGTACCGACCTCGACAATGAACTCGAAGGTCCGTTTCCCTTCCTCGCTCCCTTCCTCTCCTCTATCTTATCTCACCGTCATACCCGTAGACGCTAGATGGTTCACGCGCGACCAAGTCCTCGAGGTTCTCGCGCATCCCGACGGAACCAACCTCACACGACGCGATCACCGCAAGTTCGCCGCTGTCTATGATGCGCGCCCGCCACCAGAAGAAACAGCTGGAGAGACCAGGGATCCCGAGCGGATTACGGAGGACCTTCCGCCCTTCCGAGTACCGCCTTTATCCGCCATTGCGGGCGTCCTTATTGCGGACTGGGCGCATGGAAGGTTCCCACCACAGGCGAAGGGGAACTTGTAGAAGGGTCGAATATCGGTAAACTAGATTGTATAAACTGACGTATAGAAGATGTTTACCTATAAGGATGCAAGCCTCAGGCAAGGGAAGAATCTACGCGCGTGAAATTTGTGCGAAACCCGTATGACCTTCGGTTTCTACCTCCTGTAGTATGTACATACCTCTTCAAGTTTCTGGCTTTGGATTTGAGACCTCAGAGTATAAACATGGAATCTCGGGAAGCTCTAAGAGACGGACCTCCGGTTCGAGGTACCTCAAGCCAGTGGTAAACACCACCGCACACGCTTCATATATACGTCTCACGTGATCCCGATTTTTCGCGTGTGGCGAATGCGATTGGCCGAGGACGTCAGTCGCCTCTTCTTCCTGAACCCCCTCAAGGTTCTCAGAACCAACATCCACATCCCCTCGCACGTCGGGCAGAGCTTTGTATCATAGACTATGGTTTCCTTCCAGTGCGTTTCTTCCCCGTAACTCGTAACCCACCAACTAATGCTCCGAAAATAATTCCCCAGATGCGACGGTGCGCATACCCCTCTATCTCCGTTTCTTTCATTCCCACATCTCATTCTTTCCTCTAGGGTGCTCTGACGTTGTGAAGAAGCCCAAGCTTGATCAGCACCGCTCGCGATGCAACGCCTCGTTCACCTGCATCGATTGCAGCACGACCTTCCCCGGACCCGCACAGTACAAGGGCCATACCTCTTGCATCACTGAGGCGGAAAAGTACCAAAAGTCCCTTTATAAGGGTCCCAAAAGTGTGCGTGCTTCCATCCGCCCTTCTCATCCACCCACTCCACTCGAATTTATCCCGTCCCCCACGCGTCTTGCGCTCATACTCGTACACAGAACGGCCAAAATACCCCCGACCCGCGAGCCAATCAACAAAATGGCAACACTAATGGATACAACAATGCATCAAATGGTAAGTACCAGCAACCTCGCCAACAACAACCCTACGTGCGGTACTCGGCGACGGGGGCAAACGTCACGCCCTTGGGCACGCCTGTGCGAATGTCCCCCGTTGACCCGACTCCTCCTCCTACTCTTCCAGGACCAACGCCATCTTCTGTACCTGCGTCGGCCTCGAAGGTCGAGACCAACGGAAACGCGAACGGGAAGGAGAAGGGAAAGGGCAAGAGGAAAGCAGAGGATTCAGTCGAGGTGCGTGGGTCCGCCTATCTTCTCTTCGCCTCCATGCCAACTTATAAATCCACCCCATCATTGCTGTGTATCTGCAGGCTGTATCTGAGCCTACGAAGAAGAAATCTAAAAAGGACAGCGGCGCGGACGCGCAGCCCTCGACGTCTACTGCCGACGCAGAATCGTCCAGCCCGTCCAAGGAGAAGAAGGAGAAGAAACACAAAAAGAAGGCGGCGGTGGACACGGAAGACGTACAAGGGGACGTCCCTACGATATCGACCGACGACACGAAGGATAAGAAGAAATCGAGAAAGGAGAAGTCCAAGGCAGCTGCTGACGCTGCGACACCGGCAGATGGCGAGAACGTGGCAAAGGAGAAGAGCAAAAAATCGGAGGAGGGCGCAACTGCAGGGGTGGAGGAGGTGAAGCTGAAGAAGCGGAAACGGGACAGTCAAGTCGCTGAATCGGATGCTGGCAAAGCGGTGGGTGACTCTCACGAGGCGAAGGACAAGAAAAAGGGTATGAGTCAGGCGGAGGCGAAGAAGGCGAAGAGGGAGAAGAAGGCCAAAAAGGCGAAGGGTTCGGATGCGGAAATCTCATAGGGTTGATGTTTTCCTTCGTGGGGTGTCGGAGGCCATGCTTGATCCACGCATCTGGATACATCTGCTTTATATATTCATGCATGATATGTATGCCATGCACACAAGGAGCTCCTACAGGCCTTAGACGTAGGCCTCTGGCCTCGGGGCGTATGGAAGCGACTGGATAACGCGGTCTGATACATATATTAGGAGAATTTATCAAGGGCAAGTGGCACAGTGGTAGCGCGCACGCTTCGCATCTTCTAAGATTGTGTGAGGTCCAGGGTTCAATCCCCTGCTTGTCCAGTCTGACAACGCACAGTCTGGTCTTTTTTTATCTAGATAGATAGATTCCGGTTTTACAGTCTGTGGCCCTGAGACTTCTACATGTAACATAGTACACACTGGTGACTGCACAGTACTACAGACTACAGTATCATGTATGAGTAGACTACAT